TCTGGATCTCTTCTGCAAGAGAACTGCATACTGGGCACCTCTAGTCTCCAATCTTGACCCCTCCTTCACCTCCTTCTTCTTGAATGAGCTTTAATTTGTCCATTTCATCTAAGTTGTCAAATTTATTGGCATAAAGTTAGGGGTTAGGGATTCAACATATGAATTTTGGGGGACATAGATATCCATTCCATAACAGGGACTGAGGTCTGGAGCAGGCTTATGCTAACAGTTCATGTGGTGCTGTGTGGACAGAGGAGCTCTTGTCCCCCCTCACCCCCAGGGGAGCCAGTGAGCTCTGGGTGGGGAAATCACAGACCTTTTAGGATGTTGGAAGTTAGTTTTGGAAGAGGGGCTTTGGTAGGTCTGTGCCAGCTCAGGTCCTCTCTAGGTTCTTCTGCAGGGTTAGATTTTTTGCTGAGGCAGATCAGCTCAGCAATGGTGAGCCCTGCAGCTCTGGGTGGGACCCGATAGCCACAGTCTCTTTTCTCACAGAGGGGAGTGTAGTAGTGCTTTCGGAGCCAGTCCTGGGAACAAAGGTTGGTTGATAGAAATAATCCATGGATAGGAAAAACCTACCTTTTACATATCAGCTTCTTCACAGTAAAAAATTTAGCTTTCAAATACTTGTATATACAACATTTACTCTGTGCTGGGCACGGTTTAAGCCCTTTGAAACATCATTGTGAAGTTGTGTCAGGATTAGAGAGGAGCAGAACTGCTGTAAGTGATATAGAATAAGTGGTTTGTGGTGGGGATGGGACTTCCACAACGGTGGTTGTCAGTGAAGATGTCCATGTAAGGCTGTTGCCTCTGAGTCTGGTGTTGGGCCTGAAGTCAGCAGGGCTGGCAGTCAGGAAGGAAATCTGGGCATCAAGTGGAGAGGCAGCAGGGACAAATCGGTGCCCATGAAGACAGCCTGGAACTGCATCTGACCCTCACTGTCTCAGCCTCCATGATGCACTCACCTGCAGAAAGATCTGGTACCTTTTGCCATGAAGCTGCACACATGCTTGGTTCAGTACTTGAGAAGCTGAGAGGGGACCGAGGGGTCGTGGAGGAGTGGTGGGCCCAGCTGCTGCCCTCCTCCTGAGTGAAAGTGAGGCCGCAGATCAGCAAAGAACACCTGCGTTGCAGCAGCACCTGCTGCCCAGCACCACCTTCAGGGACTGATGGCTGCCGTGTCACCTCCACCTTCCACATCTCATGCAGATGCCTCTGGTGGCGAACTTGAACTCAAAACCATATAGGAAGGAAATTCTGGGAAGCGTAGTTCCAGCTGAGCTCTGTGCATACAGTCTGCAGCTGCCATGGGTGGTAGGTCTATTGTTTTTCCATTTTACAGATAGAGAAATGGAGGGGGAGAGAGAGGAGTAAGTGACTTACCCAGAGTCACACAGCTGTTGAGTGGGGCTCTTGCTTTGGTGCCTTTAACTACTACACAGTGCTTTGATTTTATTATGTCAGTAACCCCAGCAGCCCCTGTCCTCCAGGAACTGGACCTCAGAGGCACCCAACCATGGAGAGCTTCTCTGAGATGAGGCTTCTCAGGTGAAGGGAGAGTCCCAATCCTAGTCTCTGAAATTTATTTACATTTCACCATGCATATATTTTTCTAGGTAATAAATTCCCAATGTTTCTTTTACAAGAATGCTTACCACACTCTGTCTGGAGCTCACCATTAGCACCTAATGTGGCCATTGGGTGGAATAGGTTAGTGTGGGGATGATGTGTCTGGGTCCTTCAACAACAATTGCTTCCACTTATTGCACATCAGCTGCCAGGGACTGTAGGTTTCCAACTGTCATTCATGGAAGAGAGAACTGATTTCTGAGAGTTTGAGAATGTTTCCCAAGTAAATGATGGTGTTTAGACATGAGCAAAGGTCTGCCTGGCACACCCCTGCCCCTTGGTCAGCCAAGCCCTGGTTCAGCTGTGAACTCCCTGGTTAGATTAGCAGACCTGGGGGAGGACCACCAGAGCCCCAAGGGAGACTCTTCTTGAGGTGCTTCAGGGGGCTGGGGAGTGTGCTTCAGCTCCTTGGGGTCTGGATAGGTGAGCACAGACTTTCTTCACCTCTGGAAATGTAAGGATGAGGGCTTTGCAAATGGAGAGATTGAATGGAGTCAGAGAGGTTTCTGGTGTAGCATAAGCAAAGCAAGAATTCAGCCTCTGACTCTAGAGCCTCAAAGTATTTTATTTATTTTTAGCTCCCACAAATAAGTGAGAACGTGTGGTATTGCTCTTTCTGTGCCTGACTCATTTCGCTTAATATAATTTTCTTTAAGTCCATCTATGTTGCCGCAAATGACAGTATTTCATTCTTTTCTTACAGCAGAGTAGAATTCCATTGTGTAGATATATCACAGTTTCCTTATCCACTCATCTGATGGTGGACATTTGGGCAGGTTCCAACTCTTGGCTATTGTAAATAGTGCTGCAATGAACATAAATAAATAAATACACAATCAAACAGTCGGGGGTGGGGAAGAAGAAACAACAATCAACAATTCCTTCAACTTTTTAAGACAAATAAACAGATATGATGTTGATGGGTGGAGAGGGAAGGGAGGAAAGAGGAATTAGTAAAAGGATACAAAAATCAACTACAGTGTATATTGATAATTTTTTTTTAAAAAAAGATACTTAACTGACTGCCTCAGTCTCCCAACCTGTGCTTTCTGAGTCTTGGGACTGGGCTGATGTGTGATTCCTTAATCATGTATCTGAGTGTGTTCCAGCTGCTATAACAGAATACCATAGACTGGGTGGCTTATGAACAACAGGCATTTATTTCTCATAGAGGCTGGAAGTCCAAGATCAAGGTGCTGGGAGATTTGGTGTCTGTTGAGGGCCTGTTTTCTGGTTCATAGATGGTCATCTTCTCATTGTGTTCTCACATGGTAGAACGGGCAAGGTGGTTCTCTGGGGCCTCTGTTATATGGGCACTAATCCCAGTCAAGGGCTCTGCCCTTGTGCCTAATCGCCTCCTAAAGACCCCACCACCTCATATACCATCACCTTGGGGATTAGGTTTCAATGTTTGAATTTTGGGGAATATACACTCAGACCATAGCATTATGCTTATGTTATTTTCAGTAAGTGCCATCTCCTGTAATTAGGCTGAGTTCCTACACAAAGGGAGCTGTGATATAGGGGTCTCTTTCCCCTACCCCCCACTGTGTCCCCTGTTGTATAATCTCATGTACAATAGGGTTACAGGATTTGCCAAGAGGCCAGGTTTGGCACGGACCTTACTGATAACTTGAGAAAGTGAAACCTGAATGAGGTGATAAATTTTAGAAAACTTTTAAATTTAAAATAATTTTAGATTTATGGAAAAGTTTTGAGGCAGTACAGAGAGTTCCTGTATACCCTTCATCCAGCCTACCCTAATGTTAACATCTCACATAACCATCGTACATTTACCAAACTGTGAGATTATAACACAATTAACAGAGCTATAGACTCTACTCTGACTTCTCCAATTTGTCCAGTAATGACCTATCTCTGATCCAGGATGTAGTCCTGGACACCATGTAGCATTTAGTGGTCACATCTCCTTGGTCTCCAGGCTGTGACAGTTTCCTGGTCATTTCTGGTCTTTCATGACCTTGACATGTGTGAGGAGTAGTGGTCAGGTCTTTTGTAGACTGTACCTCAGTTTGTGTTTGTTTGGTGTTTTTCCATGATTAAACTGAGGCTGTAGATTTCGGGGTAGAACACCCTGAAGGTGAAGTGCCCCCTTGGCACGTCACATCAGGGGCACATGCTATCAGCTCACCTTATTACTCTCTCTGAATGAGTACCTGATCTCTTGGCTAAGGTGGTGTCTGCTGCGTTTCTCCGCTGTGAAGTTCTCTTTTTCCCTTTCCATGACCTATTTGTTAGATTTGCATCACCAGGTCCAGCCACACTTAAGGGCAGGGGTGGGTGGGAGGATTAATCTCTGCCTCCTGGAAGAAAGAGTAGCAATGAATTTGTGAACATGTGGTTAAAACCTCCAGCTCCAATGATCAGTATTTTGGGAGAGATACTTTCATGCTATACAGATATCCTGTTTCCAGTCAGGTGGTTTTTCAAATGACTGTTAATTTCAAGCTCAGGGAAACAGGCTGTCTTCCTCTTCCCAGGTTCTGTTACGAGGTTAGTGAATTTGCTTAAGAAACTATTTAAGGGGAATCCTATTTCCTTGCATATCTATCATGCTGCATCGGATTTCTGCTGGCAGTTGCATTTTAATACTGGGGAATCTGGAGGCTGCGTCTCATGGGAGTGAGGCCTGGGAGCTCGAAGCAGAAGAGGCGGATGGGCCTTGATGTCAGGAGACAGTGGTATGTGCTTTTGCACATGTGAATCACTCATTTGCTTGCAAAGGTAAGGTAACAGCTTATGGGAAGTGTTAAGGTAACGTCAATAGCAGAGTATATTTTTAGATACCATTTTCCCTATCTTGAAGGCTGTATTTGAACTCTCAGTTGCCTTGTGTGAATTTAAGGAAAAAATAAGATTTTTACGTAGCTGTGGCTATAATTGACCCTGTGGCAAATTCAATTGGCTCTGTGTTGAAGAGTTCTTAGGCCACTGGTGCACTTATGTGTTCCAGAATTTTCAATCAACTGCTTTGCGAACTATCTGTGGAAAACTCTTCTTAGAATACACTGTTCTTAGCATTCTGAGCAACTCTGTTATTGATCAGTGATTGCCACTCATTTTACCAGAAGAGTGGGAAGGTGAATCCCCTACAAGAAAAAAAAAAATACTTAATGGATTTCTAAGTAAATATAAATCTGGATTATCTGTTTTTGATCATCTTTTCCAATTCCTAGTAACATAGGTAACTGCAGTATGAAAGCATGCACTACAACCCACCTGGTGGCAACTTACCTAACCAATCTAACCAATTATTTCTACTTGGATCAAAGCAGATTAAGGCAAGTGGTTTGCAGATGATTTGTTCTAGCAGGAGGTGAACTGTTGAAATCTGGAACTTTCTCTTCCAGGACGATTTCCTGTTCAGTGTCTCCATTTTAAGTGGGATTCTCTGCAGCATCCTGGCCGTATTGAAGTTTATGCTTGGGAAGGTTCTGACCAGCAGAGCACTCATAACAGATGGTAAGTAAGGCCAGTGTGCCTGATCTCAGGGGGCTGAGCTCATAGCGAGGGAAAATGCTGTTTGGGTCAGTTTGAGTTGCTTGTCTTGCAGGAGAACTCAACAATTTGGAATCCATTCTTCACTGTTCCCCCCTTGTCAAGCTGTTTAAATGATTTTCAGGGCTCCCACATCAGGGCAGATGTCTTGTGCTTTGGGAATTTAATGAACTCTTCATGAGTCACCTCCACCCTGACTGCCTAACAGAGAGGCTCGGGGCTCCTCAGCCTCTTCATTACAAAGCACAAGGGCTTCCAGAGTCTGTTTTATGTGCATTGCTCCAAATAAAAAACACATGCCTTTTCTGGGTTCTATAAATGTTTCCTTTGTGAATTTTCCATACTTGTTTTCCCCTCCAGCTAGTGAGACACATTCACCCGGGAGTTCAGGTTGTAATTACCAGGTGCCTGCACTGGGGACATGTCCATGTAATTCTCTGCTTAAAATTCAAACCAGCTAGAAAAGTCCCTCTGTGTCCCTGTGGGTCAGAAAGAGACTCCTGTGGGGCCCTTGGATGATAGAGAGAAGGGTGTGTAAACACAAGAAAACTGCATTTCAGACCCCAAACCAGTGCTGGCATGTAAACAAGACTTGTGACACAGTACCACCGGTCCATTTTATTTCTATTCATTCCTGAGCGTGTGCAGTGTCCAGGTTTTCAGAGCAAAGTGGTGGGAGGTTAAAGTAGGTAAAAGCTTGTGGGTTGATGGGTGAATCTGAATAAATAGAGCAGAAATAGTTGGATTTTTTTTTTTTTTTTAGAAACACCCCCCTTCCCAAGCTCTCAAGGTTCTTCCAGATGTGAAATGTGACTGCAGGTGTGGGTGGGTGACTGTTGTGGTTTTGGATGGAGAGGATGGTGGTGCACAGGGCACTACTTGCCCAAGAGATGGGGCATGGTGACACGGCACAGCCTCCTTGTCTCATCCCATGGGTCACCCTGCTGTGCTTTGACAGTGGGGCAGGAAGTGAAAGCGATGTCAACCCTGGGACTGAGCTCAGGATCTGTCCACAGAGGTGGGCAGAGCTGTTGGCAGGGGTAGGTGCTGGTGGGTCTGAGGGGTTGGGGTCAACAGTTCCCTGGTGGGTGGGCTGGTTGTCCTTGCCCAAGTGCCAATAGTCCCTGTGCCCACTGCCTACTCCCACTCTCGAGCTGCAACACTGTCTCTTGGGAAGGCGAGAGGAGGGCCCCTAGCTTCTCAACCTTAGCTGCCCTGGGAAGAGCATCACCCATGTGCAGGGATGTAGGTGGGGATTCCTGGGAACGTGCCTGAAGAAGTTGGGAGTTACACGACCTGACATCCTGACTGCAAAACCAGGGGACCCCAGATGCCAGTCAGTTGACCACTACCAGGCTGGCAGCATCAAAATAGCTTGGGGTGTTTGTTAAAAACACAGATTCCTGGGTCTCACCCCTGAAGATTCTTGTTCCAGGGGACTGAGTTGGGGCCCAGGATGTATATTTTACACCAGCACCCCAGTCCATGCAGTGCATACTGAGGTTTGGTAGTGCCTTCTTGCCCACCCCCGGGGCCCAGTTCAGTGTCACCCCAGGAAAGGTGGGCCCTGCTGTGCCCAGCGCTCCTGCTTGACCCGCAGCTCTCAGAATCCTTCCTTCCACCTTTGCAAGATGCCACCTTCTCCCTGGGCTAAGGCAGCCTTTTGTCTGTATGAAACCAGAGCTTTTTAGACAGTAACAGCTGTTTAAACTAGTAGAAGCATTGGTTGCTGGGATGGAGCCTCCCTCTTCCTGACTCTGCTTTTTGGCATCATTGAGGCTCCTCTGCATGTAGCAGGCAGGCCCGCTGCAGGCTCCTCAGATTCCCAGATGAACCCCTGACATGGCTTTCCTCAGTCAGGCTGGGGCAGTCTGGACTCCGCTGACATCAGGTCCTGGCTTTGATGCTGTTGGAGCATGATGCTGCAGTAACACCAGGGCAGTGGGACTTATGGAAGTCTCTTGTGCCTGACCCTCTGCTAGGTGCCACCTTAGCTGGAGAGACCAGTTCCTAATGCAGAATCACCCCTTTCAGATGGCTGCCCTATCCTGTGAGGCATCCTGCCCGGGCCCCCAAAGGTGGGGTTGCAACTTAAATAACCCCTGTGGTATAAATGGGTAGCTCTTTCTACCAGAGCTGGATCTAAGGAACTTGTTTCAGTTTCAAGAGAATATAATACGAGGGTACTTCAAAAAGTTTGTGGAAAAATAGATCGGAAAGATAATATGAATCTTTCCAGGAACTTTCTGAAGTAACTCATATGAGCAAACCTGAAGACTCGACCTGGCTAAGCTTGGGATCTCTGTCACCCACCAAGGCATCATGGCATTACAGGCAGTTTGCATCAGGCTGACCCGAATATATTGTCCTACACAAGACCAGGCCAATCTGGGTGGCTTTTCCTATCTGCAAGAGACCCAGAATTTGGGACAGGGTGTTCATCCACTGTGAGTTTTGTAGGTTAGTGTTTTGTAATCTAAAAAAGAAAATGTATTCCTTTGTCATGGAGTCCTTGTTTTCTTAGGGATGAACAGCAGTGGGGATGCTTGTGCTGAGAGCTGAAGGATGGGTGGGTATTAGACAGGTGTTTAGGTTTGGATTTTCCAGCCACCTTCGAGGTCTCTTTACATCACCCTGAGGGACACAGCTGTGGTCCAGGTCCTTAGGGCTGAACAGGGCAGAGGGCTGGCTGGGCCTTGGCTTCCCTAAGCCTTGTGTTCTGTGTCTGCCTCTCCCCAGGTCTGTTACCTGGAACACAAGGGGCGGGGCGGGCAGGCCTCAGGAGGCTTCCTGAGCTCCCAGTGTGAGCGCAGCAGGCAGCTCCGCAGCAGCTTCCCAGGTGGGCTCTTAAGCCTCAAAGCCGCTCCAGCTTGCAGAGGTGCAGCTTCTCAGTCACTGAGCTGGCTGCTGTCAGGGTGCAGAAGCACTCGCTTGACAGAAGCCCAAGTGTGGACTCGGCAGGAGGCCCTGTCCCCTGTTCCCATGCATGACCATTGAGCCTGACCCCTGTCTCAGAACGCTGGGCTTTGTTTGGCTGGTGGTTTTTCCTTATAGATATTCCAGATACAAAATTTCCATTTAGGCTTCACTGAACTTCTAACTTCCCACCATTTTATATGGTGTACAGAGGAGAACCCAATGATAATAAGTAAGTATTTTCTAATAAAACAACTTCTGACTTTGATTTTCACACACAAAACCATGCACACACACATAAGCAATATTTCCATCATACTCTTGAACCAGGGAGCAGGGGTCATTACAAAGAAGAGTGGGTGGTTTAAGTGAAAATTGTCCCACAAACAGGCAAAAAGCAGGAAGGAGCTGTGCTCCCAGTAGAGGGGATCCTGTCTTGGGAGAGGGCCTGGGGCATCGGAGGGGCACAGTGAGGAAGGAGGATGTGGGCAAGGGCAGGTCACAGCAGGACTCAAGGGCCAGGCTCAGATTTTGGATATTTTCCAGATATTTAAACAGATGGGGTAACATGATTGATGTTTTCTAAAGAGCCCTCCAGTCGTCAGTGGTGGAGAACAGAGTGGAGGGAGGTAGGAGCTGAAGCAGAGGGGGTGTGGGGAGCTCAGCAGGTGGTGGCTTTGACGTGGCGAGGACAGAGTGGGTGGGGAGAAGTGGTGGGATATTTGTGAAGTGGGCAGGGCTCAGGATGAATTGGCCAGGAGGTTTGATGAGAAAGACAGACAGAGACAGAATGCTGCGTCAGTGGTGGAGAACAGAGTGGAGGGAGGTAGGAGCTGAAGCAGAGGGGGTGTGGGGAGCTCAGCGGGTGGTGGCTTTGACGTGGCGAGGACAGAGTGGGTGGGGAGAAGTGGTGGGATATTTGTGAAGTGGACAGGGCTCAGGATGAATTGGCCAGGAGGTTTGATGAGAAAGACAGACAGAGACAGAATGCTGTCCATCCCCACACCTGTACCCCATACAGGCCCTGGACTTGGTGTGCTCTGCAGTCCCTTGCTTGGTGGGAGTGTTGGGCTGGCAAAATATACAGCAGTAATTACATCCTCCTGCTAATTGTATTGTCTGGGATCTGGGCTTTACTCATTCATTGATTAGCAGAACTAGGGAGCAATCTGTAATTATCTCCTCTCTGTCTTTCCTCACTTTGGAAGGTGGGCGGGGCTGGATGGGTTGGGGAGCTGTGCTGTCATTAATGTGGTGGGTTCTCTGAGAATATGGCTCTGAGGTGCATCGTTTGTGGCTGCTACCCTGGCCTGGGCTGAGACAAGCATCTGCTCTCCAGGAAGGAAGCAGCTTCAGTGAACTGCTGCTCCTGCGGGGAGGGAGGCGGGCCTCACCTGTCCCTTGGCAGGGTGGCTGGTTCCTGAGCTGGAGCTGCCTGTGAATCACGTCAGGCCGACTCTGCCTGATCCTTTGTTGCTGGGGTGTGTCCCTACAGCCAGCAAGCAGATCTTCAGGGACAGCAGGGTGGGGCTGATGGAGACCGCGGGCACATTCCAGACTTCCCCACTTAATGCTGTGCAGCGCAGTAAATCGTGTATAATTTGCTTTTGTGGCTTTGGATAGTTAGTCGACATGTGTTCATTGCTGTGAGGACTAGAAGCTTTCTCTGTGTGATTTAAGGTAAAATGATTTCCTAGAACAAATTAATATTACAGACCAGAGGAAGACTATGAAAGGGCACTTGGGGAAAGTTCTGAACTATCAGCTGGGCCTGGCTTCAGTCTCGCGTGGAGGGACAGGTGGATCGAGTCTGGAAACCTCTGTGAAAGGAGGGTCTGTGCTGAGTGTTCCCCTCGCTCATTTCCGACTCTAAAACACCCAGAGTCTGTGATGATATTTCAAGCACATGAAAAACTTTTGAGAATATTCTGCATAAAATTAATGTGCTTAATTACACAGGTTCTGTTCTAGTCATTAAAGCCAGACTAGTGGAGCCCCTAAACAAGATAGCCTCAGCCTTTGTTTTGTGCCATTATGAGTTCTTAAAC